GGTCAAAGCTTATTTTTAGAAGAACTCGGGTTACTGATAATCAAATAAAAAAATAATTGTGTAACGAGAAAGGAAAAATTAGATTGAGAAGTAACCAAATATAAAGCAATGTAAATAAGTATATTTCAATAACCATCTGTGTCTCCATGTAAATGTTAATTCTCTCCCTTTTATAGCTATTTCTAAGTACTACATTTCTTTCCTCTCATAATAGATCCATTATGAGAAATTAATGACATTAATGAAATCTTATAATTGGCAATCATAACTGTTTCGTGATATTCTATAACGTTCCCCATCATTTATGCTCATTAATTGCAAATATTACGTATCTGTACTTATTGCTATCTTGGTTCATTCCACTGGTGTCTCTTCAAATTATCAAGAGACCCGAGTAATCATTCCTTCATGTTTTCTTGACCCTTTGCCCGTACCTATTAAGACCCGCGTCTATTTAAGTACTCTTTGCCAGCTGTCACTCTTCTATTAATCCACGTTTCTTGACATGTCATCCACATAATTAATTCCAAATGTTAACTCGATTTTCCTTAATACTGATAGTCCCCCAACTTGCTATTTATTCAACAATTGAATATTTCGGAAGTGGATCTCATTAAAGCGGAAATCTTTCCGCTGTTCCCACATAGCATTATACCTTTTTCTGAACTGATGCTTCGCATGTCACTTCCATTTAATGCGTGTGACACGTGGTGCCTTTTGACTGGTTCTGCAGTTCCTCAACGTCTTTTAGGTCTTTTATACTGCTGCATCAATCACGAAGTGACAGTTTTCATAATGACGTTTCCATCATTACCTTTTTGTTTGACGGTTGCTTCTGAGTATAAACATACCCTTTGTCTTTTCTTTCACAAAAAAGTTTCTCGTACTTTGCAATTCAACCTTTTCTTCACCTTCGTATAGTTATGTCTTCTTCAAACCCTGATCCTCAAAAGGTCCTTATCGTAGATGAATGTGACGACCCGGCCAGTCGTCTCATGAGTTACAGCTCTGTTTCCCCCATTTTTGCTTCTTATTGCTTTGTTTATCGGTACTATGTGTTATCGGGTTGGTTGGCTCGGGTTCAAAAAGGTTTTGGTAAAGTTTGAGACTCTTAGTCTCTTTTGAGTGAGTTTAAGTTGAAAAAATCAACCGGATGTTGATTTATGTGAAATAGGACTCGGATGTGAATTTCGATGGTTTGGACGGCTTTGGGAGATGATTTGGGACTTAGGAGCGTGATCGGAATGGGTTTTGAAGGCCCAGAGTAGATTTAGGCTTGAATTGACGAAGTTGGAATTTTGGCATTATCCGGTTGATAGGTGAGATTGTGATATGGAGGTCGGAATGGAATTCTGGGAGTTGAAGTAGGTCTGTTATGTCATTTGGGATGTATGTGCAAAATTTCAGGTCATTCGGACGTGGTTTGATAGACTTTTTGATATAAAGCAGAATTTGGAAGATTTTGGAATCTTAGGCTTGAATTCGATGTGATTTTGGTGTTTTGATGTTGTTTTGAGCGTTCCGAAGGTTGGAACGATTTTGAATAAGGTTATGGTATATGTTGACATGTTTGTTTGAGGTCCTGAGGGCTTCAGGATGGATTTGGATGGTTGATAGGGAGTTTGGAGTTTTGGAGGAGCTGCAGAATTTTCTACTTTTGATATTTCCACACCTACGGATTGGGACCGCAAGTGCGACTCCATAGATACGAAGAGGAGGCCGCAGAAGCAGAGGTTGGCCATTTGGATCTTGACCGCAGATGCGGTGAAAAGGGTGCATATGCGGGACCGCAGGTGCGATTCCTGGGCCCAGATGCTGCCCGGAGGGACTTAAGTGAAAACCACATAAGCGGTTCATGGACCGCAGGAGCGGGATTTTGGCCGCATGTGCGATTTTGTTGGGCCAGAAAGTATATAAACTCCCTTTCGCGAATTTTGAGTTGTTCTTCACCATTTTTATTCGGGTTTGAGTTTGATGGAGCTATTTTAAGAGAGATTTCGAGGGGATTTCATTGAGGTAAGGATTTTGGACCCTAAACTCGTTTCCATGGTGTTATTTCACTTATTTGACTTGAAAATTAATGGAAATTAAGGGTTAAAAATTGGGAAACTAGGGCTTGAGATTAGAGACCTTTGAGCAAGGGTTTGAGGGGTAATTTGTGATCGGATTTTAGTACTTTTGATATGTATGAACTCGTTGGAAGATAAGAAGTCTATTGATATAAATTTTATCGAATTCCGAGACGTGGGCCCGGGAGTCGAGTTTTGGTTAATTTCAAGATTTGTGTTATAATTTGATTTATTTTGAGTGAACTTTGTTCCCTTAGCATATTTTGATAGTTATGTACTGATTTTGGCTAGATTTGGAGCATTCGAAGGCCGATTCGAGGGGCAAAGGCATCGCTAGCTAGAGTTTGGACCGGGTAGAGGTGAGTAATGATTGTAAATGTTGTCCCAAGGGTATGAAACCCTGGATTTTACATCGTTGTGCTACTTTAAGGTGACGCACACGCTAGATGACGAGCGTGGGGTCGTGAACCATTAAGGATTGTGACTTAGTCCATCCCGTATGACTGTTTTATTGCGTATTTGATTGAAAATTGTTTGCTATCATCATTGTTTGGGCTGAAAGCCATATTTGGGCCTTGTGCCAACTGTTTTGGATCCTTAGGGGATTTTTACTACTATTCCTCACTGTTTTGACTTTAGACTTGTATTCAGACATGCTATATTCTATTGTTTTCATAACTCAACCATATTTGGGCATCATATTTTACTGTGTCCGAGTGGCTTTTAGAGATTTCTGACTGAGTAGGGCTGAGGGGCTGTGTTGTGAGGTATTGAGCTGATTCATGATTATGAGGCCGAGGCCTTGATTTGTACGCCACAAGGTGGCTTGATATGAGGCCGAGAGCCTGTTTGATTATGCCACGAGATGGCTTGATATTGTGCTTGGGCCGTAAGGGCCGCTCCCGGAGTCTATACACCCCTAGTGATTTTGGGTACCCAATATGATATGTGATGTAGCCCGAGGGACTGAGGTTGTTCCAAGTTATTGCCCGAGGGGCTTATTTCTGTTGGTATTGTGCTCGAGGGGCTGATTTTATGTGTTTATCTTTTCTCGCTACTTTTCATTCGCCTGTTTAACTGTTAAAAGATGTTTAAAAGAGGTATTTACTTAACTGAGGTGTTTCTACAAGTTTTCACTATTTTGTTGCATTGTATTGATCTTATACTGCCTCTTTATAGCATGTTGTTGTGCTTTACGTGATTTCTTACCTCTCAGCTGCTTTTACTTTTATTATTCACTGAGTCGGAATACTCACATTACTCCCTACACCCTGTGTGCAGATTCAAGAGTTTCGGATCCCGCCAGTGAGGGTTGATTGCTCCCAGCATGCTATTTGGAGTCCACTAGGTTGCTGCTCGGCGTTCGCAGCCCAGTGTTTCTCCCTCCTATTTTACTTCCTTTGTTCTAATTCTGTAATAGACTGTATAAACTCTTTCATACTCTTAGACTTATGTTAGATGCTCATGATTGGTAACACCCCGATGTCGGGCTGTGTTGGTTTTCAGCAAATTGTACTATTTCACTTTTATATTGGAATTATTAGCATGTTAATGACTTAAATTGTGTTATTATAATTGTTAAAATGAATTGGGAGTTGTGTCGGCTGACCTTGTCTTCACGAGAGGCGCCATCACGACCGGGTCCGAATTTAGGGTCGTGACAAGTTGGTATCAGAGCCTAGGTTACATAGGTCTCACGAGTCATGAGTAGGTTTAGTAGAGTCTCGCAGATCAGTACGGAGACGTCTGTGTTTATCCTCGAGAGGCTGTAGAACCTTTAGGAAAACTTCATATTCTTGAAATTTTCTTGTCGTGCGAATCTGTTGATCCGAGTACTAAACTTCTGTTATTCTATTCTCTCACAGATGGTGAGAACACGAGCGACCGGTCAGGATGGATGACCACCAGTACCACCAGCTAGGGCCACTAGAGGTCGAGGATGCAGTCGAGGTCGCATCAGGGGCATGGGTGTAGCCCGCACAGCAGCTAGGGCATCACCTACAGATCCACCAGCCGCCCCAGTTCATGATCAGGTCCTAGTTGTGGACGCTCCAGCAGCACCAGCTCAGCCCATTGTGATTCCGGGTCTTCAGGAGGCCCTGACTCAGATTCTATCAGTATGCACTGGCCTAGCTCAGGCGGTCTTAGTTACTACAGCCGCAACTACTTCTTAGGCCGGGGGAGGCACTCAGACTCTCATCGCTCGCACACCTGAGCAGGTCGTGCAGGGACTTCAGACACCGGGGGCACATCCAGCCTAGCCGGTTGCAGTTGCTCAGGACTATGTAGCTCTTGCCATGCCAGAGGACAAGCAGCGTAGGTTGGAGAGGTTTGGTAGACTTCAGCCTCCGACTTTCAGTGGTGTAGAGAGCGAGGATGCCATGGGTTTCTTGGACAAGTGTCAGACGATTCTTCATACAACGGGTATTCTGGAGACTAGCAGGGTCACTTTCATTACTTTTCAGTTTTTTGGAGTTGCCTTCACTTGGTGGGAGGCTTATGAGAGGCGTAGGCCTGTTGGTGCAGCACCCCCACTCCCGGAAAATAGGCCTATGGGAAGGGTTGTTTTGGAAACGGTTATTAAACCATGGAAATAGAGTAGATACGTTAACGGTTACAACCGTTACAATAGAATTTGGATAAAATCAGCACACTTTAGATACTAAACCGTTCTAGTTGATACTTAACTGTTACCATAGTTCTTTTTTTTTTATAGGAACGGTTGTATGAACCGTCCCAATAGGCCTATTTGTAGTAACGGTTCTAGAAAGTTTTTAATATCAGAACGAGTATTTTGTTCCCTCCTCGTTTTTCCCCCTAAATTTTGCTAAACCCGCCAATATAACCCTTTTTTCTTTTATTTCTTATTTATTTTATTTTGGTAAATATAAAAACTAAATTAAAATTCCTCACATATTGTCGACACTTTCGATGCTCGATCTCATCGGTAACTCCCAAATCACCTTCTTTGGCAAATTACCAGCAAACTCTTAAAGACCCAAATCACCTTCTTTGGCAAATCACCAGCAAATTCTTAAAGAAAATTCCCAAATCATCTCATTGCTGTTGGAATGGGTTCGTTTTTATTTTTTTTGTCTTTTACCTCAATGAGTTTCCTTTATTAAATCCAAAGCTGGAATCGACAATCATAGCAACCCAGCAAACTCTTAAACCCATGTCCTAAATTCCCAAATCCCTAAATTCATTTGTTAACCAAAAATCCCCAATCTCGATTGGTAACCCAAAACTCCCAAATCCTCAAAGTTCCAAACTCCATTTGTTTCGCTCGAAGGATTTGAAGAACAGCGATTACAGGTGAAAAAAAATATTTCAATCGCGAGAAAGTTTTGACCCAAAAAGCAATCAGTGAGAAATCAACTTCAGGTAATTTTTCTTTTCTTATTTGCGCATTATCTTCTATAATCGTTCTTTTTTTCTTTAAGCTTTATGGTGTGAGTAGTGTATATGATTTCTTTCTTTCTGTTGATGTTTTGAACCCAAATTATTTGGGTTTAATTTTCACTTGGGTATAGTAACATGGATCAAAATTTCTTTGAGTAACTATTCAAAGATCAAATTTAACATTATTTTTTTTTACCTGTTTTATCTACTTCTTTTGCTTGATTTTACTGCTCAAACTGCTCCTTTTTCTTCAAAGTCAAAGATTTTTTTCATCAAGAAGTTGTGCATAAAACTTTATTATTAATTGACTGCCATAAATTGACAGCGTTAATTTTCCTCCAATATTCTATCCAGGTATTGAGTTTACAATAGACATGTTTTATTAAATCTTGAACCCAAAATAAGTTTACATAATTAATTTTGGCATGATTTACTTAGAATTCTGATAGAGTTCACTGTTTTCTTCAAGATGAAGCCTTTTATAATTGTTCTTCAAGGTGTAGGGACTATTGATTTTTTCTTTATTGGCTCCAATTCTGAGTCGCTAAACATCCTTTTTTATTGGAGAGATTTGGTTTCAGTCCATGCTAATGTTACTTCTGTTGTTTAAAAGTTAAGTGTGAGTGGAAGATCATTTCCTCATCGTAGTGTAGTGAGATTACATAATTAAAAGAAAATATAAGTTCTATTTTGCAACTAGCAATTAGAAGTAAGAGAAATCTTTTGAGTATTGTGCACCATGTATACTGCAAGTAATGAACTATGCAAACATGTTTTCTTAAATAGGATATCAAGTAGTTCATGTATCATTCTATCCTTCGTCAAAATAACATAAAGTTTAGATTGTATGCGTGAGCACGTGATTTTGCCCTATGTGAAATACTCCTACAAATTAAAGAAATAATTTTTTTCCAACTATTTGCAATTTCATAGGATTTTTGTAGGAATTTGTGTTAAATGTTTGCATTTTCTGTGCATGTTTATTTTTATTAAAATCATAAAAAATACAAAAATTCCATGCATTGCATTTAGGTCTTTATTTTTATTATTTAGGATTAATTAATTAATTAATTATTTTATAAAAAAATAAAAATAAAAAATAGCTCATGTTTACATTTTACCTTTTAATTTTTAGATCAGTGCTTTTAGGATCACGTAATCTTTATAATTATTTTAATTAGGTAATTAGTATAATTTTACAATTTAGATAATTTAGGAATTTAATTTTAGGATTTCATTAATTAAAGAAAAATAAAAGAATAGTTGAAAAAAGGGAATTAGAGAAAACCAAGAAGAGGCTGCCTTAACTTGGGCAAAAAATGCTGAAGCCTAAGTTTCTTTACCACAAGACCCGCCCCAAATTTCCCCCGATCCAAGCCCAAATCAAAACACCCGGTCCAGTCTTCTCCATCATCAAACGACCCCGTTTTTGGGCCCTTATCATCACAGTCGTTGATCTTATGTGATCCAACAGTTGTGAACTGGGAACTAACTTTGTATAAAGCTGTCCTAACAGCTTCCCCCCCATTTCGAACTCCCTCATTCCAGCTTCACCCCTAACTCTAGTTAATCCACGCCGCCCCCAAAATTCCCAAACACACCGGCCGGCGACGTAACCCCAATCGAACCCAAGTTCATACCACACAATCATCACCCACCCCTGTTCCCTAATTCATCACAACTTTCCCCAAAATCCTCACCTATTTGTCCCAATTTCAAATCTGACCCAGAAATTGAAAACCCTAATTCGTCCCTTTTTGAAGTTTTAAATGGATTTTAAGGTTGATTTTGAGTCGGAATTTATGTCAATCGATTGTTCTCATTAAGAACAATCGATTAGCATCAATTTCGGCTCGTTTCAAGGCTCACCGAATTTCATGCAAAATCAAAAAGACCGGCAAAACTTCGTCAAGTGCTGCCGTTCGTCGACTCGCTTTGTTGCTCAAATGTTTCCGGCCAAAACAGTACATATTATTTCCCTCTCTTGTTGTGTCTATTTCTGTTCGTCTTATTATAATTAGTCCATTTGTTGTCGACTAGTCTAATCTTTTAAAATAATTTGTTTAGGTTAATTGTATGTTAGGATTAATATTGTTTTTTTTTTTTCTTGTTTTCTTCTTCTTTATTTCTATTTGATTTTCCGGTTTGGTCTGGTTTATTTGGTTTAGATAGTAGTTTTGAATTAATATTTAAATTATTAAAGTATTTTGTTTGGATGGTTCATTTGTGGTTCAGATTTCTCTTTCTTTATCTTTATTCCTTTTCTTTTCTTCTTCTTCTTTTTCTTTTGATTAAGTGTCCAGTTAGCTTTTAGGTCGTAATCTAGTTTAATTTCATTAAATGCTCATTTTGCTATATTTGGGTCTATACCTTGGTTTCATGGTCATCTCTGGCCTGGGCAGAAGAAGCCCATTCATATGGGCTTGGGTCTTGGGTCAATTTGACCCATGGTTGACTCATTTTGGGGAGTAAATACCAGACTGTCAGGACGTACTTTGGGAATTGAGGTTTAGGGAATATTTTCGGTTAAGAAAGAAGTTTCTAGAGAATAAGGCAAGGCTTGCATGCCAAGAAAGGCAGGGGTCCAAACATTCTCTTTAAGGGACTTGGGGGGTCAAAATAAAAAAGGAGGAGTACCTGAACGTGAATTAAAAACCAAGCTCTGCTGCCATAAAACCCTTCTATAAGAAGCTCACTTGCTAAAATTCTAGGGAAGATATCAAAAACCAAAAAAAAAAAAAAATAGAAAACAAAAAGCGGCTGAAAATCTTTATAGTTCTTTGAGTTAGATTTCTTTTCTTTGGGAAAAGGTTTCAAAGTGGTATTTTCTGGGGATTTTCTAGCTTTCTAAGCTGAAGTGAGGATTGGTTTTTGATGCTGTTTGGGTGAACTTTCATTGCTTCCTTTGCTGTGAACCTGCTACTGCTTTGCTGCTAATAGCTGACTTCTAGCAAATTTTGGTTTTGTTTTTGTTGTATCCAGGTACACATTCGAATCCTTGGAATGGAAGTGAATGAAATGATTCTTGTAACCTTAGAGCTGATGTGTAAATGCTAAATGAAGTTTGATCCTCAATTGTTTAAGCTTCAGTTTTCGTTTTAAGTCCGATATTTTGTTAGTAGTTTAGTATTTTAGGATCTTCTTAGTTTGTTGATTTCGTTTAAGTATTTCTGATTTGCATGATAGTCAACAATTTATTTTAGTTGGGAATCCTACATATGAGTGCTTAAGTTAGTTTGTCTTCTCATGTATTGTTCATGATAACTCTATTTAGATGTTTCATTAGAGGATATTGGTTAGTATCTCATCCATGTTTGAAAGATGCAATGTGTAGCTACTAACTCACTTCAGTTGAATACCTTTAGATTTCAACATTGTTAAATAGATCATATATTTGATGTCAATATGGTTACTGCGTAGGTTAAGTCATGTTTTAAGCTTGTAATTCATTATTAAAGGCATGCTAAATGAATTAGAAGTCTATAATCTTATTATTCATGCATGTTTAGTTTTCCAGAATTTTGTATAGTTTCTTGTTGTTATTTATGAATTAAGAGGTATGAATATCAGCCATGGCCTTATCACTAAGAGCCTACTTGCGAATATGTGGGTTTGATTTTGGCCCCATAAGTAGGCTCGTCTGTCACGGGCCCAGAGTGACCAGATCCGGTCTTATTCTGCTTTGGGCTCAATTTTGAGCCCAATGGGGTTCAACCTTGGCTTGTTTCTTTTAATCAGGTCTTGCTTTTAATTAATTTCAATGTGTATTTTATGGGATTGTTGGGCTTGGCATCAGCCCAAACGAAATAGTCCTGATCGTATTAGGCCTGACGAGATCTTCAAGATTCATGCCTTTTTGGGCTCAGTTTCGAGCCCAGGTAGTCCCAACATTTTGCTTCCCTTAATCGAATATTAATTTGGGCTTGTTGCTGGTCCAACTTCCTCCAAATAATCAAAGGCCCAGCATATACACCAACTTTCTTTTCTTTCAACTAATAGTTATATAAGAACATCCTTAGATTATTTTAGTTAGATATAATTCTTAAAAATGGATTGAGGTGTGCCATTATAATTAAATCACCTATGGCCCTCTTATTAAGCATTATAACTTAGATACTAAAAATAAATCTTGTAGTTTGCTTTAGGCGCATTAATTAAATAATTATCATAGCTACGGATACAGTTCCCGTAACGTAGTTGTGATTTGTAATTGCTATAATCCGGGTGTACATTTCATGTGACCCAACTTCAATTTCCAATAAGGTTAAATAGAACGTATCGTGAACCGCGGGTGCATTTCATGTAGCGTGGTTTATGAGGTGTTTTAAATAACCTTAAATTTTCCTAAAAATAGTAAAAGCGGTTAGAAAGTTTTAAAATGCACATAAGTTTTAAAATATGTAATTAATCATTTAATTAGGCCATCATAATAGTTGAGCGACCATGCTAGAACCACGGAACCCGAGAATGACTAACACTTTCTCCCGAGTTAACAGAATTCCTTACCCGGGTTTCTGTGTTTTACGGACTGTAAAACAGAGTCAATCTTTCCTCGATTCGGGATTTAAAACCGGTGACTTGGGACACCATAAATTATCCCAAGTGGTGACTCTGAATTTTAAATAAAATAATCCCGTTTCGATTGTCACTTAAATTGGAAAAAACTCTCCTATACCCCTTCCGCGGGTAGAAAAAGGAGGTGTGACAGCTCTGGCGACTCTGCTGGGATAATAACCCAGAACTTCTGTTTCAGGGTTCAAGAATTCGAGCATAGAATAACTGTTATATATGGCTTTTATATATTATCTGATTTTTATATATTTGAGCCTAATGTGCTAAATGTTGCTTTTTACTGCTTTGATATTATCTGAATTGTATATAAACTACTACGAAACCCCTCTCTTCCAATCTTCTGAGAAGTGCATACTGGCGTGACTTCTTTCTGTTAGTGTCATACCCTAATTAGAACGAGGTTCGGACAAGTTGTAAAGCTGGATGATCATTTGGTTACCGGTAAGCTGCCCC